TGTGCTAAGATGAGCCTTGCCCAGTGGCTGACATAGCAGTCCATTTGTCTCACGCCATCAGAGAACACTGCAGGTGCTCAGTCAAGACAGATCCAGACAGGAGAAACCTCTAGGCAGGTTACGTGCAAAGATGTGCGTAGGCTTAAGAGAAAAAAAATGGATATAGACAGTCATAGAAAAGGTAAATAGTTTACAAATAATAAAAAATATATAGAATATGCCAGATAGAGATGGAAAACACACAGTCTGGATCCTACACAGTGTCTTGCTGGCTTTGAATATTTTTATTGTTGGTGGACAATTGATAGCTGCTGACAGACACTGGATTATGGAAACTGCTGAATTAAACCAACCTATATATTTTTAAAATGTCTTAACTTCAAAATGGAAGTCAAAAAATGTGTTACATTGGGGAAGAGGTTATGCTTTTGTTTCCACAGAAAACAAAAGGCTGTGGGTTCATTCAAGGTTGATACAGATCAGAGAGATCAGGAGAGACCCCCCTGAAAATCCTGGCTACAGACATAAAAAAACAAAACTACAAGACAGGTGATGTACATTTTACCTGCTCAAACATAAGACAAAAAAACTAATCTTTGGCTGACTTGTGTACAAAACACGGTCCATACTTGTATTGATGTAGATACATATGTTACCTTTGAAAGTTCGTGTGTTTGCCAGGCATTGGTGGCGCACGCCTTTAATCCCAGCACTCAGGAGGCAGAGGCAGGCGGATCTCTGTGAGTTCGAGGTCAGCCTGGTCTACTGATCGAGTTCCAGGACTGGATCCAAAACAATACAGAGAAACCCTGTCTTGAAAAACCAAAAAAAAAAAAAAAAGAAAAGAAAAGAAAAGAAAAAGAAAGAAAAAAAGTTTGTGTGTTTTCAGAGCAAGGGGACCAGCCACCAATGCAAATGAGTAGCAAGGGTGATGCAGCCTCTCAGAGTGTCCCTGTGGCAGTTTCCTCAGAGTTCTACCTCCAGAACAGCTTCAAGGCTGATGGCTGACATGCTCCAGCCTCTCAGGCTATTCTAGCCCAGACTTGACCAATATCCTAATTTTCTCATGGTCTCCCAAAGATGTCAGTGCCCCCAGACAGCAGGATAGGCTTCTCTTTTCCCTCATAACATCCTTGCCTAAATTACAATGCCCACACCTAAAGAAGAAGGATTTTTAAAAGTTCTCCCTTGGCTTTGTCTGTGTTATGATAATGCTCGAGGGGAGCCTTGGCGGATTCCATGCCAGGCAAGGGTGACTAGGCAGGGGGGGCAAACACGCCAGGCAGGCAGAGCTTAAGTGAGACGTTTTATTAGAAAGGGGAGGGTATGGGGAAGGAAAGACAAGAGTTAAAGAGACTCGAGACAGAGAGGACAGAAGAGAAGAGGGAGCCAGGAAAAGTCCTGTCTGCCACAGGGGAACAGCTGGAAAGAGAGTGTAAGTGGGCAGGGTCTTTCTTTTAAAGGAGCCCCTTGCACCTGGGCTGACCAGGGTGCTGCCTGAGTGCATTCTGCCAGGTGATGGGGCAGGCCAGCACAGTGGCTGGATCCTTACACTCGGACGAATTGTTTTTGCAAACAATCCACTCGTGCAATCGCAGTCAAATGGTAGCTGGTGACAGTGACGCTGAATACATTTCTTGCAACTTGCTTCACAGTTTACATAAGTAATAAGGCTAGGAAAAAGCATCTTAAGAGCGCACTGTAATCTGACTCCTCATCACCAAAACAGAATTCAAGGCAGAATTATGTTTTGTTCTTCAGATCAGAGCAATACTAGAAGAGAGATGTCTAATCGTGATATAAATCACTCCAGGGACACACAGTCACATTTGTGTTCTAGAAAGAGGTGCGCAAGCTCATCTGGGCCACAGCCTGGTTTTGTACAAGTTAAGAAGGACTGTTCCATGGTGTTTAAATGGCTGTCAAATTGCCTTCTAAACACTTAGGCTTCTATCCATAGACCTGAGATGCACTCAGGCCGGATCAGGGAACCCTCGTTTCCAAGCGGACAGCAGTCGATGCAGAGATTCATGGCTGATCAGAGTGTGGAGAATGAGCCAGCATGGGGGCTCGGCTGCAAGTGAGACATCTTATGAATCCCCCGCCCACCACCAAGGCTCAAGGAACACGGAGGAAGGGCGGGTGGGAAGTACCCGGAGAACAGGAAGGACTGCTGTAAAACACTGTCTCCTGGGTATGATGCAGCATTCACACACGATGGTGTTACCTGCACAAGAGCAAACCAGCGAAAGTCCCAGCATGGGCTGGGGAGGAGGCCTCAAGGCCCCACCCCTCACGGAGGAGCTGCTGGCAGCTGAAGGAAGCAGAACCTTTCTTGGAGCCTGCTGCTGCCTCTGGTGGCTGCCTGTGCTCCGGTGGACGGCTCCCCTCCTAGGCACATATGGGCAGCACTAATCGGACTTAGTACATTTATTTGAAAAGGAAAAGGAAGAGGAAGAGGAAGAGGAAAAGGAAGGAGGAAGACGAGGAGTAGTCAGGGGAGAAAGGATTCAGGAGAAGATGGAAGATGGAGATGATCTATTTCATCATATATTTAATTCTAAAATAATTAAAACCTAAACCTTTTAGGAAATAATAAAACAAACAAACTAAATTGCTGAGAGAAGGGCTGAGAGATGGCTCACTCGGTAAAGCCCTTGCTGTACAAGACTAGGGACAGAAGTATCCCAGCATCCTCATGGAAACCAGACAGGCAGCACACTCTATAATCCCAGAGCTGGGGACAGGGTAATGGGGACAGTAGCCCAGGGCTCTCTGGCCAGACAGTCTAGCCAAATCAGGATCTCTAGGATGTGTGTGTGTGTGTGTGTGTGTGTGTGTGTGTGTGTGTGTGTGTGTGTGGTGTCTGGGTATAGTGATTTATGTCTTTAATCCCAGCACTGGGGAGGCCAAGGCAAGTAAATTCAAGGCCAGCCTGGTCTGAGAGGTGGTAGGGGGATAAGCAATAGAGAAGATACCTGATATTGACCAATGGTCTCCACAGGTGTGTATACATGCATATAACACACATACACACACACACTGTGGGAGAAACAGGACTGATAAATATGATCGAGAAAGAAGTCTAAATAAGAATAATATTTTGTGACTTGCAACTCAAATTTCAATTCCATAACTAAAGGATTTAGGAATGAAATAAATGTCACCTATGGTCCATGCTGCTTTGGGGACTGCAGGGTTTGCACCCGACCACAGAAACCACCTGTCCCACAGAGCAGGAAATAGCTCATTATCTCATCCTTCACAGTTTGCCATGCCGTTCCGGCACAAATTATGCCCTTCCTCAAGGATGGATGCTGTGTGACACATCGACCACTCTAAAGCTGGTCTTTCTCATCTGTAAAAATGGGGTTATTTCCTATTATTTAGTGCAGACTCATTATGAGTTAGGGAGCGGTGACTCATCTGAAGTTTCTAAGCCAGTACCTGGCACGAAGGAAGCTCCGGGGAACCATTGCTTGCTTCTCACCAAGACATATAAAAGTCATCAAAGCCACCAGGTTTCCACCTAGCCCGTGGCAAAACAGTAAGATAACAATATAAAGTATTAGGCCGGGCAGTGGTGGCACTCGCCTTGAATCCCAGCACTTTTGGGAGGCAGAGGTAGGCGGATCTCTGTGAGTTCGAGACCAGCCTAGCCTGGTCTACAGAGCGAGTTCCAGGACAGCCTCCAAAGCCACAGAGAGACCCTGCCTTGAAAAAAAAAAAGTATTCTATTACAAGAAGAAATTGTGGAGGAAAAAAAATAAGAAAAACAAGAGAGAGATTTGGGAGAGGAGAGAAACGAAAAGACTTTAAGAGACCAGGTCTGCAAAAACAGTTGGTGGCCGATTCCAGTGAGAAGCATGAATGGGGTGGGGGGTGCTTTTTAACTGACCGGTGACCTCTCTGGGCTAACTGAACACTAATTACCAAGTGGAACTGTAGTCTCCATGGGGGAAATGCCTTCTAAATTCCAAGCAAGTGACTTACAAATGAGCCGGGGTCAAGTCCCTTTCTAAGCTGGGGGCTTCCTGTATTTGACATTCCTATACAAATGACAAGTGATCCCCGCAGTAACTTCAGCATCTTATTATCCCTGTGCAGTTGCTCATTAAGAGGAGACAGTTAGACAAGGGCCCCTCTTGTCCCATTTGTCACAAAAGTCACCGGAGGTCAGGGACCATTTTTCTTGTCCCTGAGTTTACATAGTATTCAGTGCCCCTGAACAGCAAGAAGAAGAAGAAGAAGTTCCCATAAGTGGAAAGCAACCTCATTCGCCAGAGCTGGGCTCGCACAGCAACTGTGAGGAGAGAGGACACACTTAACCCGAGGCTGAGAATTACCTATCAATGACTCACTCTCCTACCCAAAGCTAAATCCCTGCCTCTTTCAGCACCCTGAAAAACTACCTGCATGGTTCTCCTTTTAAATCACTTTCTCAGGGCTCTAACTCACCCCTGCTCCATAAAGAATTGTTTTTAAGTTCTTTTTTTTTTAACTATTGCATTTTATGGACTACAGGTATTTTGCCTGCACGTATGCCTGTGTAACATATGCACACCTAAGTGCCTGCAGAGGCCGGAAGAAGGCATCAGATTCCCTGGAACTGAGTTAACAGCTGTGAGCCAACACGTGGGTACAGGGAATCGAACCCAAGTCCTCTGGCAGAGCAGCCATTGCTCTTAACTGATGAGTCCTCTCTCCGGATCCCCAAAAAAGTACCCTTAAATTTACAACTCCACAACCAAACAACTATGTTTATTAGTCCCTTCCATCCCCAATCCCTATAATCCTAGCCCCACCATGGTTTACACTTGGGGAAAGTCACTCATCAAATCAAGTATCTTTAAGAGACTTGATACATGAGCCTCACATGGAAACCCTTGAGAAGGAGAAAGGATAGCATCGTCCAACATCTCTGCAAATGTGCCAAGGAGAGTGGCTTAGAGCAGTGCGCTCAAGTGCATCTAGGCTAGTCACAAGCTGAAAACACTCACTGAGAATGGATCTGCTGGGGGAGGCCCACGGAAGGTTTCGGCTTGAGGGTCAAGGTCATCTGAGCCACTGGACTGGCCCTTGGGAGAGCATCTGCCTTCTTGGTCGAGGGATGCTTTGCCACTTGCTCAGGAGGAACCCAAGGAGACCCGTGATTCTGTCCTCCGAAGACTGGTGACACCGTGTCCTGGGAAGCTGTGGTCTCGCAGGCTTTGCCCTTGGTCCCTGGCTTACACACACAGAGCTGCGGCCGGAGACACATCCCTCCATTCTGGCATGGCGGAACACAGCTTGCTGCAGAAGACAACAGAAGACATAGTTTTGAAGAAAAGCACAGTAGATTTCACTCATTCTTCCAAAGGGTTAACAGTACAATTGAATGTCCCCCTGAGAAAATCATGATGATGGTGGTGGCGGTGACAGCTGATACCTGTAGCGGCCACCTATGTGACAGGTGCTTTTCATGTGTACACACACACACACACACACACACACACACACACGCACGCACGCACGCACGCACGCACGCACGCATACACACACACACCAAAATTAATCCTCAGAAACTGTTTCTAGTAGATATTTATTTTATTATGTTTATTTTAGGGATAAAGAAACAAACGCAAAGGTTAAGTGACTTAACAAAGAAGAGTTAGGTTCAGACCTAAGCAATCTGCCTCAAATGCATCATTCTTAACCACTGTACTATAACTTCACTCTTAAAGTACACCACAAATTTAAAAGATCTTAAGAAAGTCTCCTGTGGTGATTCGAATGAAATGGCCTGATAGGCCTACAGTGAATGGCACTATTAGGAGGTGTGGCCTCATTGGAGAGAGTGTGTCACTGGGGGTGCTCTTGGAGGTTTCAGATGTTCAAGCCAGGCCCAGTGTCTGTCTGTCTGTCTGTCTGTCTGTCTGTCTGTCTGTCTGTCTCTCTCTCCATGACAATAATGGACTTAACCTCTGAATACAGGTGAGGTTCCTTGGGAGAGCTGAGGTCATTGACTTGAACTGCATTATGTAATGTCACAGGTTTCTGTCAAGCTCCCATCAGACCCTTCTGCATTTGTTGGGATTATTTATCTGCTGCCCCTTTGTTGATAGTCTGTTTCTGCTTAAACTCTTCACCTTGGAAACACACTACCAAATTTCCTACCCAAGTCAGTGCCTATTCAGTTCAGTCCACTAAACAATTCCAGAAGAGAGGAGAGACATTATGTCTTAGTTAGGGTTTCTATTGCTGTGATGAAACTCTATGACCAAAAGCAAGTTGAGGAGGAAAGGGTTTACTTGGCTCACACTTTCATACAACTGTTCATCATCAAAGGAAGTCAGGACAAGAACTCAAACAGCAGGAACCTGGAGTAGGAGCTGATGCAAAGACCATGAAGAGGACCTGCTTACTGGCTTGCTTCCCATGGCTTGCTCAGCCTGCTTCCTTATAGAACCCAGGACCACTAGCCCAGGGATGGCACCACTCACAATGATCAGGGACCTGTCCCATCAATCACTAATTAAGAAAATGTCCTAAGGGCTTGCCTACAGCCCAACCTTATGGAGGCATTTTCTCAAGTGAGGCTCCCTTCTCTCAGACGACTCTAGTTTGTGTCTAGTTGACATAAAACCAGCCAGCACAATGAATCACAAGAGACTTGGTTACGAAGAACCATATGACCATCCAACTCCCTGGAAACCTACTAGTCTAGTCTTCCATAGGAAAAGATGCTTTTCCCATATTGCTATGATATGATTCCTATTGGTCATAACAAATAAAAACATGGTTCTTGAATATCAGAACACCAGGCACCATTTTTCAAAATACTTGAGGATAAAAGAAGATTAGAGATAGAACCAGCTTTGTAGACTACATGACTTACATCAGTTAACCCTGGCCAGGTAATTGTGAGTGTTTCAGAGAAATAGCTGCTAGCTCGAAAGTGGTCCCCAAAGCTCTGCACTTACAGAGTTAAGGATGCTAAGTCTTCAACATGTTCCTGACTAAGCAAACTTGGTAGCTGGATCTGAGATGCTGGGCTCCAAGTACTTGCCAGGCCACTATTATTTATGGAATGTCACAGGGTTGAATGGGCTCCACCCAAGTGACCAGAGGCATCAGGAGAGAATACAGGACCAGGCTTTCCACTGGGGGCATTTGATAGAGATCAGCCCCCTGGGGCACTAACATATATGCATTATTCTCTTAATGCTTTCAATTAGGAATATGTCTTAGTCTAACATCTGAGAGTAATTTCCACTCCTCCTTCCTCACAAGGTGCCCTGAAAATAGCTACTGATCTCTCGGGCAGGCTGCATGACACAGCTTACAGAAGTTGGCACCCAGGGAAAGGCCAAGGATTGAAATCACTCAACACTCCATTCACTGTGCCACAGGAACCTGTCTTTAGGAAACCATAAATGAATTGTGGGGAGGGGGAATGTGATTTGTTTTTGTTTAATTTTATATGATAAGAATACAGGAAAAGGATAATTAAAAAACACTAATTAAAACATCAGGCTGGGGAAATAGCTCAGTTGGTAAAGTACTTGGCATGCAAGCATAAAGAACAGAGTTCAGGCCAGGAGTTGGTAGCACACGCCTTTAATCCCAGCACTCAGGAGGCAGAGGCAGGTGGATCTCTGTGAGTTCAAGACCAGCCTAGTCTACAGAGTGAGTGCCAGGATGGGCTCCAAAGATACACAGAGAAAAACAAGAACAGAGTTCAGATCCCTTGAATCCATGTTAAACTATCGGGCATGGTGTTATGATCTCAGTATTGGTGAGGCAGAAACAGAAGGATTCCCTGGGTCGTATTGGCCAGCTAGTCTCACCAAATTGGTAAGCTCCAGGCTCAGTGGGAGACAGTCCCAAAACAATAAGGTGGGGTGCAATAGAGGAAAACATCCAACTTTGATTTCTAGCCTCAAATACATATACACACACGTGTGTGTATGAGTACGCGCGTGTGCATGCAAACATACACACAGACTACAAACACAAGGAAAACACAAAGATTTCAAAAATAAATGCTATTATAAGAAAAAAGAATAGTCCATGCATTAGAATAAATGTCTTCAAAATTGTCCTTCTGCAGTAAATTTTTGAAGAAGATACTTCAGTTGCCCTACCAAAGCTGGGGCAGGAGCCCCTTGGATCATTCAGCAGGGGTTGCCGTGAATTGGAACAGATAGATGCCTTAAGCGCCTCATATGACAGGAAAATGCCAAACCCATGCTCTCCCATAATGTTTTATCATGCATTTTTTTTCCTGTACCATTGAGAAAAACAGTGCAAGCACGGTGTTGTTGTGGAATATTTATTTACACTGTAAAGATGTGAATCTGCTAAGACACCCTCTGATTGGTTTGATAAAGAGATAAATAGCCAATAGCTGGTCAGAAGAGAACAGGTGGGATTTCCAGGGAGAGAGAGGGAGAGGAGGAAGAAGCTAGGCACGTGGGTTTTGCTGGCAGACTGAGAAGTCAGACATGCTGTACTAAGGAAAGAGGGTGAAGAGCCATACAGCAGAGCAGAGATTTAAAAAACAATTCATTAATTAAGTTATAAGAGGTAGTTGGGAAAAAGCCTAAGTAAAGGCCAAGCTTTCATAATTGACAAGAAAGCTTGCTACACAGTGCTACTCACTTCAGGAAAAGAAAAAGGGTTTTAAAGTTTCTAAATCCAGGCATGGTGATGCATGCTTAATCCCAGGACTCAGGACACAGAAGTCCTGCTAGCTGCAGGCGGGCCCAGGATTCCGAATGAGACCTCTCTCTGTGGTGAAATAACCAGCCTTAGAAGGCTGGATGCAAGACACAAACCGTGTGCTGTGCCATCCTGGGCACACAAGAACACAGGACTGATTCCTGAGAGGAGAGACGTGCCACTGTCAGACCTCCTACAGGCAGCCCTCCAGAAACACCGCATGGGGAGGAGAACCACGGAAGAGCTTGAGAGCCCACCTCAGGAGGTGGAGCGGCAGGACCGCACAGAGCAGAGAAGGGACCTTAGTGACCTGCAAATCTGTCAGTCACCTGACACCAAGGCAGCAGACACAGGATGAGGCCAGAGAACAACCACATCAAGACCTGGAAGAGGCAACCGTCCAGATCTCCTCTAGGACGCAGACCTACTTCTGTGGGGTGGTGCTGGAGTCAGGACATGAAGTCAAACCCAGAATCAAGCTCTTTGAAAAGGACAGTACAGGGTGAGGCAAAGAGGACTGCCAAAGTTCAAAGCCAGTCTAGGCTCCATAGCAAGTTTTGGGCTAGCCTGGACTACATAGTAAAACCCTGCAAGGAAAGAGGAAGGGGCAGGAGGGAGGGAGTAAATAATCAGTATCTGAACCTAAGAATAGACAAGAGCAGTTCCCACAGGAAAATGAAAATGCACACCAATTAAACATAGATGCAAAATGCCTGAATGAATTGTTGATAGACCAAATATGTCAACCTTTCAGAAGCAGAAAAGTAAATGGAATTAGTTCTAGAAACATAAGGAAGGCCCTACTGTTAGTATACCAAACAATGTAATTCCCCATGTTTAAAAAAAAAAGATGAGAATTTGACTCAAGGAATGCAGAAAGGCTTCCAGTAAAATCCATGACTTACTCATAACAACAAATAAAAACTGCTTGCCAACCCTGAATACACAGGGATTTCCTTATTCTGCTAAGCAGTATCTACAGCAAATCCTACAAACAACATACCAAGATCCCCAGCAAGTATCACAAGCATACTGCAGAAGCATTCCTGTCAATGCTGGAAACAAGTCTGAATGCCCATAATCATCCCTAACAGGGCCCAGGCAACATGACAAAGCAAAAACAGAAAAAGGGCAAGAAACAAATTTATCAACTTTTGTAGTTTCTCTTCTTATGTATACAAGTTACTGGAAAGTCCATATACTATCATAACTGGTAAGATAGATCCGAAAGAGCTGGTCATAGTGTCGTCTATCACTCTCCACCTCTTTATACCTTTGAGGCAGGGTCTCTGACAGAACCTGCAGCTCAACATTTCCTCTAGGCTGCTGGCCAACAAGCTCCCAGGGTCCAATTGTCTCCACTTCGCAACTCTGCCATTACAGGCACACAAGGCATGACCCAGCCTGGCTATCACATGGATACTGAGAATTTGAACTAAGATCTTCACACTTGTCACTGAGCCATCCTCAACTCCAGGATGTGTCTTTATAAAATCGTTTTCAATTACATGATCATGTTGTAACTTTCCAGTTAAATTTTAAAATAACACCATGTACTTTTATGGATGCCCATAAACATGCCAGACATG